GAGCTCAGATTAACGCTCCGCATTGTCTTCAGTTTGGGGAAACAGTTTCAGGACACTGGATCCATATCGAGAAGACCTAGACAAAATCGACCAAGAACCTCATATAAACGTCTTTTTTTCAGCGCTCATAAACTTATATAAACGCCAAGAAGGCGAATTTCACCAAATGTTGACTTTGGCGCAGAAGCGCCAGCAAACGAAACTCGCCAAGATGAGCAGTGGGGTGAAGGAAGCAAAAGGAAGAGGTGTGGTATGCGTGAACCGGCATATGCTGTCGAAGTTCTCTTCTGTAAAATTTAGTTATTATAGGGTTGGGGCAAAAGTTATGACAGCTATTTTTTTCTTGTAGATATGTAAACGGATCACAAAACGTGTATGTGTCATGTGGAAATTTTGCAGAACAACAGATGGCTCTGTGATGGCTGGCTCTGTGGTAGCGAGGGCTCTGAAATCAGTCAGTTGGTGAGTGTCGTGCGAGATAGAAGTAACTCGTGTTGAGCAGCGCGCTTACATCAAAATAGCCGTTCTCCGAGGGAGAAATGCGATGGAATGTCACAGTGAATTAGTAGAAGCCCTTGGGAATAATGCTCTACCATATCGTACAGTAGCACGGTGGGTAAGAAAGTTTCAGCAAGGACGTGTGTCAAGCAATGATGAGCAACGTTTGGGACGACCGGTGAGTGTGGGGACCAACTTGGTACGTGCCGTCATCGAGCACCTCATGGATGAAGACAGACGATGGACGTTACTGGAGTTAGAGAGGGCAAGTGGCATCGAGAAACGCACCGTCCACCAGGATATTGCGTAATGAGCTACAGCGACGCAAAATCGCTTCGCGGTGGGTAACGCATGCACTGGCGGAAGTTCAAAGGTGGGTGCACTATGCAATATGCTCCGACAACTTTGCACGCTGGCAACAGGACGGCGATCAGTTCTTGTCACGAATAATCGCCATCGATGAATTTTGGGCCAGGGCATACGAACCAGAACTGAAACATCAGTTCGCGGAGTGGCGACATCTTGGATCATCAAGGCAGCAGAAGGTCCGTCAGAATCCTTCCCCAGTCAAATTAATGTTGATCGTCACGTATGACGTCAGGGGTGTCATTTTTTGCCACTTTGTTCCTCATGGCAGAACAGTGACCGCAGAGTACTACAGGGACTTCCTGGTGCGACAGGTACGACGTGGAGTTCGGGATAAACGTCCGGATCTTGTGGACAGTGCAATAATTCTGCACGGCAATGCTAGATCACATAAAGCAGAGTGTGTACAGCACCTACTCCGACGTTGGGGCTGGGAAGAATTAGAGCACCCACCGTATTCTCCTGACCTTTCGCCCTGTGTTTTTGATTTCATTCCCAAGATTAAGGAACCAATACATGGTAGGCGGTTTGCAACACAAGAGGACATTGATAAGGCTGTGCGCCAACAGATGACACGATTCACACATGGTGCGGCAAATGCTGAGGCTGATGGTATTCAGCGCCTCCCACATCGTTGGCAGCGTGTGGTTACAGTAGCAGGGGACTACATTGAGGATGTTTAGGCCCAGGTTTGTCATGTCAACTTTACGTGTATTGTATTATCATTCTTTTGCACCGTGAAGGCACTGTCCTGTCTACTACCGTAATAAATTCGTGTGTTACGATATTTCATTGCTATTCATTGTCCACACATGTAGTTAAGACCTTGTCCTTTTGTCTATATATGCCACATTTTCCAGCCGGATTGGTATCTTCAAGAAAAAAAAAATAGTTGCCATGACTTTTGCTCCAACCTACGTTTTTTATGTGTGGGTACAAAATAAATTCACGTATCGTGAAGCTAGTGTGTTCATTATTGATCGGCCATTTATTATGAATTAGCAAGCTCTTCTATGATGTGGAATGGTGCAGTGTAAAACCGAAAGTGGATGCGTTCATCGTCCCGAGTAAATTACAGGTAAACTTTACTTACTGCATTAAAAATAATTTAAAATTTGTTCTTACCACATTTTTTTCGTTATATGCATTTACTCTAGTTCTTTTATATGCATTTATTTAATTTTATTCCGTTACATGTATCTGTTAGTCTTTTGACTAATTTTATCTGAACAAAATCTCATACTAACAAAATACAAACTACAAAATCTCATACTAGATGAAAAATTGGTAGCCAAGCATAATACGAAGTTATTGCCATTTCAAGTGATGTGAAGCGACTTCGACATTGTTTATTTATTTTATTTACCTTACGGCAAACTACACGAGGACTATCTCTTAATATACTTGCTGTTTGACCCGCAATCAAACCCTTGTGAACAGGCTCCATGGGCGCTTTCGTGGTTTTAACTGTATGTAATATGGGTACGAGAAATAGTTCCCCTAACAAAGTTTGCCACGAAAGCATACTTCCCCTTAGGCAGATCACCTTCGCGTGCTTTGCCATAATGTAACAAGCCAAATCAAACATATTCCCAAGCAAGGACTTGTAGTCAAGGCAGGTCTTCATGAACGGTAAACTGAAATTTTATCGTATTCACATTAAAGATGGGCAGAAAAAAAAAAAACTGATATGCAGGCAGTCCATTCTCTAGGATTTAAACCCGCTTCAAACTATTAGCATTCAACGATTTTGTTGATATGTTGCTGGCGGTATTTTGTAGTATCTTTGCAAAATAATTGCGAAGACACAATTATTGCGTACCAACGGATTAATTAAGTTCGGAACTACAAGAATAAATTTCATTCGTTGTATTGCTGTCAGTATTAGCATTCGGAGAGATGTTAATTTATTTTCTAAAGGAATTCTTTTAATATAGTTATTTTAATTCTTTAGTTAACTCTTCTTCAGACTATAATATTTTGTGCACAGTATATCTAACCCTTCCATATACTACCCGTTTTACTTAACTTATATTCCATTCATTTTAAGCGATTTTATCCCAACAGATTTCTTTCCAAAAATGTTTCAAGGAACCCATATTTTGTTCCTAGATTTTTAAAACTCTTTTGTATTTCAAATCTTAATAATAAAATTTTTAAAACAAATATTTCTAGAAATTCCTTCAGCTTATTGATTTATTCAATTTTATTCAATTTAAGTCTTCGAGTAGAATATCTTCCTTTCGACATTCAAGATATTTTTATATGTCTGTTCGCGTTTATAAGAAACACGCAGCACACATACGAGTACAAAACTCAGGCATGCTGAAAGCACAGTTTTAACATTTCAAAATGTAAAAAAGAAGACTATACCATTGAAATAGCCTGCACTTAAAATACGAGGACAAACAAGAAAGCTGGTTGCAACATTTTATATTTTTTCCTGTTCTTCACGAATCAGAAATTCTAATCAACTTTTAATACAAAAACAAATATTTGACAGCATAACACATGATTTATTAAAATGTGCATTTTCCGTTATAATTCTTACTTTTTCCTGTTTCTACTAAAATTCGGTGATGCATTATAACAACGAGCGATTCCGTTTGACATTTGTATAGAGTACCACAAAGGTAAACTGTTGTAAAACAATTTATCTTCATTCACAAGCTTGCAGTCGCCAGAAAGATAATACATACCTGTTGCATGACAATGATACTTAGGACTTTTAGGACTATTCTGTAAAGTGCTTTTTTCAAACAGACTTCACACCCTATTAAGAGCTTTGTATTAACTGACAGACGCCTGCAGAAAGGTAGGGAAAAGAAGACCAAAGCGCATCGCCTAAACACGTCTTATACATTTTTGGCCAATTTTGGTTTACACATCTTAAACTTTTTCGATCGATTTTTAATTTGTGTAAACACGTTTAAAGCATTTTCAAAGGAAATTGAAAAAGGTTTAAGCAGATATTAAACAGAAAAAAAGTTCGTGGAACGTGATACCATCCTGCTCTCATCGGGAAAAGTGATCATTACGATGGTAGAGTTGTTGTAGTTTGAACAGTCTTTTTGTTGGATGGCCGCACACTCTTGCATTTATCTGACAAAGGCTCTCTGACTGTTATGAAATACTGAGAGCAGATTTAGAGCCCTATATTCGAGTTTTAAGGGGAATAGTGTGTCCTGGGTTTCTGTTAATGGACGACAACTCACGTTCTCATAGTGTTGAGGAGATTACCTGGAAAGTCAGGATATTCGCCATATGGATTTTCCAGCCAGATTTCTTGACGTCAACACACAGCATGGTGACGCTCTTAGGAGGGCAATTTCCTCTCAGTATACCTATACCTCTCCGAGAACAATTCCTGAGTTGAAAACTGCTTTGCTGCAGGAGTGGGATCGACTGCGCAGGTACTTTTCAACTACCTCCTGTCCAGGATGTCGTTAGGCTGAGCGGCTGTGAAAGGGGAACATACCCGATATGAGACTCATTTTCAGTTCGATATCACAACGTGAATTTTAGACATCCCTTCACTATGACTTTTACTGATAATCATGCGTACATAGAACACGTTTTGTGTGGTAAGTACACCATATAAAAAGTATTTTATGTGCTCATTTTGTACATCCTTTTTCTTCTGTTATGAATGTATATTCATATCAAATTTCATTAAAATCTGTCCATTGGTTTTCAGAAATTTGACAGCTGTGCAAAGAGTTTTAATTTTGCACACGAGTGTATTTATATCATCCGAGCACATATAGCGGATTCGTTACAATTCCTCACAATTTTATCAAACGGAATTGTTTCTTTTATAGTGACCATATGCTTGAAAACTTTTATTTTTGCAGAAGCTTTCTACTCATAGCACTGGAAGCGTTTTCTTAAGATTTTTACCTTGTTCAATCTCAAATATTCTCTACAAAGTATCTGAGATTTCATACATATATTCTTATCTGTATGAATGCCGTTATTGGTTACTTAGTAAATTATTATATATTAAAAAAGTTTGCGTATATAATGAATATTGTATTTTATTAGCAGTTACGTACCGCAATAATAACAATAAAAGCATAGCATTAAAGAACATAGTTCAATCCTTTCACAAAGTAAAATTAGTATATAACTTTTACCTGAACATACATATCGAGATTTTCTGTAAATCTCTGGCGAAATGTTGTTTACACACGTTCATTCAAGATGCCCTTCAGAATATCGCAATCAATACAGCCTCTTAAATCGCCATCTTTCTCAGTTCCACTTATTCAAGGAACATCATCCGAATTTCTCACTGTAAGTTGACTGGAAATAGAATATGGAACAACGTTAGCTTTCCAGTCGATACAAAATAAGTAATTATTCAAAGGTATTTATTTAAAATTAAAGCAGTGACATACAAAATTGGTTTTACCATACTTTTGTGCTATCTTTTTGTTTTAGAGTAGCCTGATTTTAGTTTAAAATTTTTTATTTTAATACATTACCAGTATATTGATTCGTGAACAATGACAAGTTTGAATACATTCCACGTCATAAGCCAATATTTTTCAGTAATATCTGAAAAATCGTTTGAAGATTTAAGACTATTTGAAAAAAAATCGCCCAAGAGAACCGAAAATCGAATTTGTATATATGTAAGTAATTTTAATGAAATTATATATAAATTGTAGTATTTCTTGTGCAACATAATATGAAAAGTTTCAAGAGTATTCAAAACATCGCTGAAAATACAGGCTTGCAGTGTTAAGTTTCATTCAAAAGGTAAATCGGGAAACTAAGGATGGTTTCAACGATTATTTTTATCGAGGGATTTGGCGAGAAATCACCAAAAACTGCCAAACTTGGAGATCATTTGGCGACATTTTGATCTGATCTTTGTATAACTGTAACTGTCTCGATCCTTATGTACCTGTAATTGTATTACAGCAATTTCGAGAAGTGGAAGCCACTGGAAATATCTCGGAGGAGGGGAATCATCTCAGAGTACTGAGAGATCACTGTTCGAGCTGACGCATTTGAGACTTTTTGTATTGTTGTATTGTTCTACGATCTTATGAGTTTGAAGTGGTAATTACTGATTATGCTGTGTCATACTGAGAAGAGCTGTATGGGTACTTTTATGTGAAAAGTTCCAGAACTGTATTGAACTTTAAAAAAATAATTTCACCAAGCTACTATCGCTTCTGTGTGCTTCAATCCATTACAAATCTGTTCGGAAGTAACAGTATTTATATATATGACATATTCGGTTTCTTTTTATGTATCTATATATATGTAAAACAAAAGGATTATGTCTGTTATATACATATATATATATATATATATATATATATATATATGTCTTAAATATAGGAAAATGCTACATGGTCTAGTTATTATTTATCATTAAAATGTGTTCACGAATCTTTTACAGGAATATTTTATTTTTTATGTCTAATTTTACTGATACATATAATTTCTGATTTGTCTAGTATGATATGAAATATTTTTTGACATAGGTATAATCATGCTATATTAAACAATACATAATTTGTTCTGTACGTAAACACAGCATATAAATAGACAAGTACAAGATAAAATAGAGCCAAAACGTACATATGCTCGTCGGCATATTAAAAAAAAAAAATAGTGACCTATAATTTTTACGATTTATTTAATTATTGCACATTTGAGGTAAATGTGCTGTTGTTTTTACTAATATCACTTTCTGATATAATCAGATTAAGCCTACGAATTATTATCGTGGCGAGGAGTACAAGATTGCATTTGTCCTTCACCACCATGCAGGTGACAGTCCCTCTTATTCTTAGTTCCACACCGATTTTGAAGAAGAAAACCCCGATGGACAAATCCGAATGTTTCTTATCCTTCTTTCCATAAAACCAACCTTCTGAGACAGCTTCCGACTCGCCGTATATTATGAGTTTCCCCATGTCGTACTGACGCTATACATTTACAAACATACATGCCTTCTTCGAGATCCAAATTCGGACCCTTACGTACGGAAGTCACCGTCGCTAAAACCCTTTCCCATCTGCGCGGCTGTATATATATATATATATATTTGAATTTAACAAACATTCTCTATTCGTAATATGTAGCATACATATATATAAATATATTACCTTACTAAAATAATTTTACAAAATTTTCAACTGTCGTTTGAGTTTTATATCTCTAAGGAGATGTAACATTTTCGATTATAAAATCAGCTTTTAGCAAAATTAACCATAAGAAGAACAAAAAGCATCTAGACGTATTTCTTGGCAGGTATAGCCACTGCACGAGATGTTAAATCTTTAATTTATATTTCACACACCCTCATTAGGTAATCAGCTCAGCGTGTTGCCATTAGGCAAAAATTAACGTTTTTAAATTTGTCTTTCAAATTAATCAAGATGTTCATTATCAGACTGAAGATTTTAAATGAAACGGGTTATAGGACATCCTAACTTTAAGTTAATTTTCAAAGTAAATCAGTCTGATCGAATATTGATTATAACACAGAGCGGTTTAAAAACAGTAAACGTATTTCTCAATAGTTAAATATTTACCTGTTAGTAAAATCTATAACTAATATAAATAAAATGCATTGAATTTGTAATGTATTTAACTAATAACTTTCATGTAAATATTAAAAATTTATATCTATATACAGGGTGCCCACTAAAGTCCGGTACCACTCGTTTAACTGCCGGACAGCAACATCTATATTGATAAAATTGGTGTCTAGGTATAGTATAGCCGCTATATGCTACATGAAGAGATATCTTACAGCGCCACCTGGTGAAAAACGGCGGAGTTATTTTCCTTATAATCAAAAATGATACGAGAAAGGAAGAAAAAGCGACTTACAGAGTTGTACAACATCGTCGATTTGGTACAAATAGATACCTTGTGAATATAAATGCTATAAACAGAACGCTGTAAACGCACATTTGTTTCTTCGCAATTTCCAAGACAGTGACGTTACGAAACTTGAACGAAAGGAGAAAAGACTGTCTTTCGAATGAAACGTATGGCGGCATCGCGTCACAGAGATGTCGCATGCAATTCACAGTCGAGAGGACTGTGGTTCAAAACTCGAGAGATGAAACTTGTACTGATTGTCTATACAAACAGAGTAGATACAGATCGCGCACAATCGCGTCGCAAAACGCATCAACTCAACGCAACTTGAGCATGGTGTGGGAATTTGTGCAAATAGTGTATGAAACGTCACACTTATTCACCTTAGACAGCTATACAATGGATATCTCCTCATGGTTGTATGTTGAAGCTCTTGGTCATGGAGCGATTTTTAAAAAATGGATTATTGTGAGACGGTTCTACTTACGGTGAATGTGAGCGCAAGGAACGATCGGCAGCGTGGTAGCATCGGCAACGTGTTCCTGCAGGCCCACATCCTTGATACAAAACCATTCTACAGGTTGTGAAACTTTTAAGTGATATAAGCTGCGTGACTAGACGACTTTGATCCGGCAGACGAGCTAAGGTAGGGCAGAAAGTACGACCGGAGGATGTTTTATCATACGACCTCTTATATCTAAACAGCAGCACAAGAGAGATAAGTGAAAAGTATGGCTTCTTAAAAAGTCACGTTTGGAAAATCCTAAATGAATTAGGTGGTCATCCATACGACCAACACCTAATCAGGCATTACTGGACGAGGATGCCAAGAGACGTTTCGTATGGAGCAACTTCGACATGAACCAGATAGAAGTCCATCCATCATTCTTAGCAGGTCTAATATGGAAGGATGCTGCATGCTTTTTGTGGAATGAAATGTACAATAGGCATAGCATCCGAGACTGAGCATTAGAAAATCCATCATGTTCTGCCAAAGTTTGACATCAAATACGGTTTTCGATTAATGTTTGCCGTGGAACTTATAACAGGCTAATCGGCTCAATATTTTACCAAGGTATGTTACCTGATTAATACCTGATTTTGTTGAGAACCTGCCGTTGCTTCAACTCTAGAATGCATGGTTCCAACATGACGTCGCAAGTGAAGCAGTACCTGATGGAGGAATTCGGAAAACGAATAATCGGGTACGGCGATTATTCGTTTTTCGAATAATTGGTTCGAAAGTTTCGAAGAGTGGCCTCCACATCCACCTGATCTGACTCCAACGGACCTTTTCTGTGCGGATACCTCAAATAGCAGTTGTATGCGACCTCTCCACAAACATTGCAGGACCTTCAAAGAGGAATTACAGATGCTTGTGCAAGCGTATCACTCGCTATGGTACAAAGTGCAACATGAAGTTCAAACAAGGGTCCAGTTGTGCATTTCAGCTGATGGAGAGAAGTTTAAACGTCGAAAATGAAGGTACAAGAGAAATTTTTTTCTTTCTTAGATCGTTTCATAACATCACAGTTTCGGAAATCGCGAACAGACAAATGCGCGTTTAAAACGTTCTGTTCTTCACATTCATGTCCACGATGTGTCTTTTAGACCTAAATCGACTATGCTCTACAACTTTGTAATTCACAGTCGTTTCCTTTCTATCTCGTATCCTTTTCGAGATAGGGAAGCTAACCCTGCCGTTTTCCACCAGGTGGCGCTGAAAGATGGTTCATCTACTAGCGCATAGCTACTTTACTATACCTGGAGACACCATTTTTATGCCTATAGCCGCAGCCGTTCGTCAGTTAAGCGGGTGGTACCGGACTTTTTTTAATGGGCACCTTGTATACCCATCGACTTACCTAGCTTAAAAATCCTTACCCATCTTTTATTTTCACAATGGTTGGTCTCAATCATAAACTTCCAGTTACAGAAATGTTTTAGACGACCAAAATATTCATGTTTTGGCAATATCAAAACATGAATATGTTTTTTTCGGCAAATTGACAAATTAAAAAAAAATATTTTCGACAAATAACGAAATCTAAATGCGCTCTTCTGGTTTCTATACTCATATTTAGGAATGCTTTATGCTCGTTATGAAAAAATAATATTAAAAAATGTTTGACTGCCGTATGTCAAAAATATAGAGCGGGATATTTAATTTCAAAATTTGCAAATAGAATTTGCAATTTGAATTCTCTAATTTGCAATTAGAGACAGCACTAAAAATTAGATTTCATTATTTGTCCTAATTATTATATTTTTTTTTTCAATTTTACATTGCCATAGCATGAACATTTTTGCAATTTAAAACACTTTTATAAGCACATGACTACGAAAGTCAAAGCGAAAATAAAGGCCATGTTTTTTTATATACTTTTAGTATTTCCGATTGCAATATAAAGGGGGCTATAGATGTTATAACAGTCCCATATATAATATTTCAA